TATGGATGCAATAGAGTCCTCTGAGAAGCAATCTAAAACGGACTCTAAAACCTCATCTATACACCTTTATGTATCATCCGAGGATTCCTCTTACACCTCATCCCTTCCAGTTTCGCCGGTCATTTCTCACACTCCTTGTGCCGGCCACCCTTCTCATGAAGCTTCTCTTTTGCCCCAGTTTGATCCACGATTAATTGCCAAGGTAGAAAAGCGTATTCGTAAGCAATTGTATACTCGTCAGAAAATGGAAGAGTGGCATAGAAAGTCCGGACTGCCACTAAAGATGGAAGTAAGACGCTCAAAGCGACCAGAAAAAATTTACAGGCTTAATAAGACTTTGATGATTGATTCTTGTTCTAAACCAAATGAAACCAACGCTTCATTCATGCATATTAATGCCTCTGGTGATAATCGACACTTTGGAATAGTGTGTGATGGCTGTAACAAACATGATTTTGCGGGGGATCGCTTTAAGTGTTTGGATTGCCAAAATTTTGATCTATGCCTCGCTTGCTTTTCCTCGGGTATCCATAAAGATCATGATATGTTGGCCTTGCGTACACCGTCATGGATCAAAAAATCTATTTATATTTCTTCCTCGGGTTCAAGAAAGCCCTCAGCTCCGGAGTCTATAGGATCAGTCGCATATTCCCTTAGAGACGCATCAACCTCGTCAAATGATTTGATATCTGCTAAAGTGTCTCCGTTTAACGAAACCAGTGATGAATCTTCCATAACAGTGCATGATTCGGATGGATCTTCGATGTTCAGTGATGATAGGAATGATCCCACTCCAGATTGGGAAGTTGTTGAAGCTAATGGTGATGGACACTCAGAATCAGTTCGTGCTCCTCAGGCTAATCTAGATGTGCCGATCCAAGAACCCCCTGTTCCTAGCGGGGATCTATCTGATATGCATATCTCGGAGCCGTTACTAGCATCTCTTACTCCTGATACTTTATGCGATGCTTCTCCTTCGAATCAGCAAAATGACCAGCATAATCCCATAGACACGAATTCCCGTTCCTCCACATCACTTCCTGATTCTAATCTGGATGGCCATCCTCGTATGGATTCCACTCAACGACCGTTTGAAATGAACCTTATCACAGGTAATCTGCTTCTTCCGGTCCTTGAAAGTGCTCGTCAAGCTGTCAATCTTGTTGATGATATAACGATCCAGGGGCTTGGCCTCTCTTCACCACCGCCTTCAGCCAGCCCTACTCCTTCTCTACTTCGAATTAACAACCTTCAATCTCTTCGTGATATGGGATTCGAAGCTTCACGGGGTCAATCTTTCCTCAATCGTGTGCTGGACGAAGTCAATGATAATCTTGCTTCAGCAACTGATCGATGTTTGTCTGGCAATTAATCATGCTCATCAGATTTATCGACATTTTTAAGGGCTCATTTTTCATTTACATTTTTATTGATATTCTGTTTGTCATTATTCTCGAACCTACCAAGTGATATTTTACTTGTCATTTTTCATGACTTTTATTCACCTCAGATGTGACTCGTTTCGTATATTTTAATTTATTCTTGTCATCTAAACATTTTTGTTTTTTTCGTTTATACAAACTGTTGGTAATAAGGACTTTAAATGTGCCTCCTAGTCCCTATGGCCAGCGAAAGTCTAATCAGTTTGCTGTACCTAGGGGCACAGCTCTTGGGAAATGCTTAAGGCATGCTTCTGCATGTTTACTTGACTTGTTTCAGATCTTCCACTTGACGAAATTCTCGATAGTTATGAGAAACTGGATTCAGAATAACTCCCAATACATGTACTTTTCGTTTCCCTTAAAAAGGTGACTGTCTTAGTGCCTTGTCTTAGTGTTTAGCTTTACGCTCTGACGATTTCTGTCACGTCAGATTATATTAAATTCCACCATTGATTTATCGAGGTCGAGGGACGGTGCGCCGAGGTCTTGTTTACACAAATCTAATCATACTTCTCTGCTTTGGCTTTCTGTGAGGCCAATTTACGAATCTCCTCCATTAATCGAAAATATGAAAACCCAGATTGCGTGGCCTTTGGTATGGTCGCAGTATCCTTTCGATGTGTACGGGTGGGTTGACTTCGTTTTTGCGATTTGGTCGTGCTGTTAGGGCGACCTAATTGGATGCATCTTGTCCGAAGTCCTTAATTATAGTAGTTATAATTCCCAGTGTCGCCGTGAACTTGGTAGAATTCCAGATGTCTCGTAGACACCGTCAGTCAGTCTTGCTACTCAGCACCAAGTTACAACTCGTCAAGAGGTCAATCTC